TTAATATTAGTTATGACATTGATTCGATAGATAATCTGTGGGGCTAACACTGTACATTCCATTGTAAGTATGGGATGGTGGCGGGGGTGCGTGGGGGAGCAAAACACTGGCTCTTGTAATGTTAGTGAATAGCCATGTTCAAAGTCAATATTTTATTCAATGAAATACGATCATCATGATATCTGAAAAGGTATGATTAGTGTTCCCGAAAGAACCTTTGACTTGACACCTAAAACATAAGGGTGCATAAGGGGTGTATTTCCCGCGAAAATGTTTGATGTTATGTTTAGTTTCTTTTTCAAAGGACGACTCACATCAAACAAAAACATGTGCAATGTTCGGGGAACAAAAAATTAAAGGATTACAGAACCTCTTGTATTTCCTAAAATACAGTATCAGCTCATTGTCGTTTTGTAACATTATGATCCAATCGTTGCTGTGTTACTGGGTGTTTGGGTATGAACTTATGTGATATAAATGTATTATAACGTCAGGGGCGGTCGGGTAGCCAAGAGGTTAAAACGTTCGCTCGTCACGCCGAAGACGCGGTTTCGATTCCCGACATTGGTATAATGTATGAAACCCATTTCTGGTGTCCCCCGCCGTGATATTGCTGTAATATTGCTAAAAGCGGCGTAAAACCGAACTCACTCACTCGTATAACGTCAGATACCCTTGGGATATGAGTGAGTGAGTGAGTGAGTATAGTTTTACGCCGCTTTTAGCAATATTCAAGCAATATCACGGCGGGGGACACCAGAAATGTGCTTCACAAATTGTAGCCATGTCGGGAATCGAACCCGGGTTTTCGGCGTGACGAGCGAACGCTTAAAACCGCGAGGCTACCCGACCGCCCCCCTTGGGATATGATAAAACGCACGTCAGATATTCACAAAACAACTGGCCTGGGAGATAAATAACAGCAAAGCCAAATTCACATCTTTCATCTCTTGTCCCGCATGTACAATCAATGTAACGGTATCGATTAAGGCTAGAGGGATAACATGTAGACAATTATTGATTACTCGATCAACGGTCTAATATGTGAGTCCGCCGAATACGACACATGCGGGACTGTATGCTTGACGTATATTTCTATCGATTTTGTACTTTGTACGTACTTTTGAATCCAAGCAACTAGAATTACATAATAAAGATAAAGATTCCTAACTGTTTGTTAACTATTCGTGTTATGGTTCTTCAAATCCACATAGAATTATAGACAAACAATTTCAAGTGTCAATTTGTTTATCATACTAAAACGTACCTTGTTGGTCACTTTCACTAGTAATGTGTATTGTTCTATTCTATGTTTTGATATAATGCGACCCGTTGTCTATGAAACGCAGTGGTTGAAGCGTTTGGTCATCACGCCGAAGACCTGGGTTTGATTTCCCATATGGGTGAAGCCCGTTCATGATGTCTCCCGCCGTGATATTGCTGGAGGTATGCTGAAAGCAGCTAATAACCCAACTCACTTCATTTCAGATGATGGACCTGTCCGAGAAGCTGCTACTCTGCAACCATCTATACCAAGCAACAGTAAGGATGTTCATATTATTATAACAAAGACGTTTGTTAATGATATATAAACAACAAAACCCTTTCCATATTCAACAAAAAGCTCGGCTAAAAGCAGAGTTGATTGTACGATTCCGACTATATCATAAGCATGTGTTTATGAAATAAAATGATCCAGATCACCTGCGGAAACGGACAGTGGATCTTTTACAAAAGACTTTGTGACGGACGGCATGACTGTGTTGATGCCATGGGTGGTCTGTAAATAATCGAGTCTGGACCAGAGAATCCAGTGATTGACATCATGAGCATCGATCCACGCAATTGGGATACGGTGACATGCATCATAAACCATGTCAGCGAGCCTGACCACCCGATCCCGTTAGTCGACTCTTACGACAAGCATAGTCGCCTTTTACGGCAAGCATGGGGGCGGTCGGGTAGCCTAGTGGTTAAAGCGTTCGCTCGTCACGCCGAAGACCCGGGTTCGATTCCCGACATGGGTACAATGTGTGAAGCCCATTTCTGGTGTCCCCCGCCGTGATATTGCTGGAATATTGCTAAAAGCGGCGTAAAACCACACTCACTCACTCACTCTCCTATAGGCCAATCAGATTCCACCTCTCGTATCACTTGCGTTTGCTTCACACAAAATGGTGGCGCCCAGTCAAGACGATCTGATCGATGTTCAAGATCTATATTGTAATAAAACGGGTCTCACATCGCGAAATGCGTCAAATCACGTGAGCACCTTGATTATAACATGAAAAGATCTGCTGACAACGAGTTGGCGGTGCACATGTTTTGCAAATCCTGCAATGGACCGTAATCATTCGTCACCACTCGCCCCTTTCCGAAACCTGCAAGAAGACTCGTACCCCTATCGATGAATGTTATGTGCGAAAATACGACAAACCAATCAGAATGCGCGTATGATTTCAAGTTCTCCATCAAAGAATCCCTCAGAAATAATTTTTGATTTTACATTTGTCTTGCATCTAGAAATATGCCCATGACACAGTTAAATGTGTTCAATCATACAGTATAATTCCTCATGCCCAGATGTGCTATAGATTGCATCTGAAATATATATAATATATGGGGAAATATATGTGAAGCATTACGCAACGAGTTGACAATTGTTTTATGTATGCCCATTTGCGCTTAGACGGAACCCGGTCGCAAAAATGGCCATGAGAGGGGCACGAGTCGCTATTCGGCTTGTCCCGGAATAACACGAGTTGGTCACGAATGAGACCGAAATCTGCACGACAGTTTACGAACCGGATTTCGATTTCGGTACGCGAATTTGATTGGACTATGAATAGACTCGTTATTCAAGCCAACTGGACTTTCATAGTCAGTTAACTCTCTTGCCTTGGGAAGATGCCTAACTAGCTCCTCCAGGAGAATGATTTCCCCAAAAGGCAGCAAAGTGACACGGTACTTCTTACAGAGAGATTGTGCACTTAATTTTATTTCTACCACCTTGACATCATGTTTCACTGTTCTAAGATTCAGTTCATTTTGTGTTCATGATCCAAGCAAAAGTGGTCATTGACATGACGCTAATTACATGACGCACATTATATACCGTTGCATGTGATCCGGGTTAGAATAGGTCTTCCCGCAACCAATGCGTGCCGTACAAGGTGACTGCTTGTCGTTAGAGGAGACAAACGGGATCGGTTGGTCAGACTCGCTGACTTGGTTGATGCATGTCATCGTATCCCGATTGCGTGGATCGATGCTCATGATGTCAATCACTGGATTGTCTGGTCAAGACTCAATCATTTACCGACCGCCGACCGCCGTCATAGCTGGAATAGTGCGGCGTTATACAACAAACAAACAAAGCATAAGGATACCACCCGTTGAGATCCGGGTTAGAATTCGTCTTCGGCAGCCCCTGCTTGTCGTGTTTGAAACCGTCTGTCCTGGTTTAGGTTTAAAGAGCAATGATACATCAATCAACTAAAACTTAATTAATATTAGTTATGACATTGATTCGATAGATAATCTGTGGGGCTAACACTGTACATTCCATTGTAAGTATGGGATGGTGGCGGGGGTGCGTGGGGGAGCAAAACACTGGCTCTTGTAATGTTAGTGAATAGCCATGTTCAAAGTCAATATTTTATTCAATGAAATACGATCATCATGATATCTGAAAAGGTATGATTAGTGTTCCCGAAAGAACCTTTGACTTGACACCTAAAACATAAGGGTGCATAAGGGGTGTATTTCCCGCAAAAATGTTTGATGTTATGTTTAGTTTCTTTTTCAAAGGACGACTCACATCAAACAAAAACATGTGCAATGTTCGGGGAACAAAAAATTAAAGGATTACAGAACCTCTTGTATTTCCTAAAATACAGTATCAGCTCATTGTCGTTTTGTAACATTATGATCCAATCGTTGCTGTGTTACTGGGTGTTTGGGTATGAACTTATGTGATATAAATGTATTATAACGTCAGGGGCGGTCGGGTAGCCAAGAGGTTAAAACGTTCGCTCGTCACGCCGAAGACGCGGTTTCGATTCCCGACATTGGTATAATGTATGAAACCCATTTCTGGTGTCCCCCGCCGTGATATTGCTGTAATATTGCTAAAAGCGGCGTAAAACCGAACTCACTCACTCGTATAACGTCAGATACCCTTGGGATATGAGTGAGTGAGTGAGTGAGTATAGTTTTACGCCGCTTTTAGCAATATTCAAGCAATATCACGGCGGGGGACACCAGAAATGTGCTTCACAAATTGTAGCCATGTCGGGAATCGAACCCGGGTTTTCGGCGTGACGAGCGAACGCTTAAAACCGCGAGGCTACCCGACCGCCCCCCTTGGGATATGATAAAACGCACGTCAGATATTCACAAAACAACTGGCCTGGGAGATAAATAACAGCAAAGCCAAATTCACATCTTTCATCTCTTGTCCCGCATGTACAATCAATGTAACGGTATCGATTAAGGCTAGAGGGATAACATGTAGACAATTATTGATTACTCGATCAACGGTCTAATATGTGAGTCCGCCGAATACGACACATGCGGGACTGTATGCTTGACGTATATTTCTATCGATTTTGTACTTTGTACGTACTTTTGAATCCAAGCAACTAGAATTACATAATAAAGATAAAGATTCCTAACTGTTTGTTAACTATTCGTGTTATGGTTCTTCAAATCCACATAGAATTATAGACAAACAATTTCAAGTGTCAATTTGTTTATCATACTAAAACGTACCTTGTTGGTCACTTTCACTAGTAATGTGTATTGTTCTATTCTATGTTTTGATATAATGCGACCCGTTGTCTATGAAACGCAGTGGTTGAAGCGTTTGGTCATCACGCCGAAGACCTGGGTTTGATTTCCCATATGGGTGAAGCCCGTTCATGATGTCTCCCGCCGTGATATTGCTGGAGGTATGCTGAAAGCAGCTAATAACCCAACTCACTTCATTTCAGATGATGGACCTGTCCGAGAAGCTGCTACTCTGCAACCATCTATACCAAGCAACAGTAAGGATGTTCATATTATTATAACAAAGACGTTTGTTAATGATATATAAACAACAAAACCCTTTCCATATTCAACAAAAAGCTCGGCTAAAAGCAGAGTTGATTGTACGATTCCGACTATATCATAAGCATGTGTTTATGAAATAAAATGATCCAGATCACCTGCGGAAACGGACAGTGGATCTTTTACAAAAGACTTTGTGACGGACGGCATGACTGTGTTGATGCCATGGGTGGTCTGTAAATAATCGAGTCTGGACCAGAGAATCCAGTGATTGACATCATGAGCATCGATCCACGCAATTGGGATACGGTGACATGCATCATAAACCATGTCAGCGAGCCTGACCACCCGATCCCGTTAGTCGACTCTTACGACAAGCATAGTCGCCTTTTACGGCAAGCATGGGGGCGGTCGGGTAGCCTAGTGGTTAAAGCGTTCGCTCGTCACGCCGAAGACCCGGGTTCGATTCCCGACATGGGTACAATGTGTGAAGCCCATTTCTGGTGTCCCCCGCCGTGATATTGCTGGAATATTGCTAAAAGCGGCGTAAAACCACACTCACTCACTCACTCTCCTATAGGCCAATCAGATTCCACCTCTCGTATCACTTGCGTTTGCTTCACACAAAATGGTGGCGCCCAGTCAAGACGATCTGATCGATGTTCAAGATCTATATTGTAATAAAACGGGTCTCACATCGCGAAATGCGTCAAATCACGTGAGCACCTTGATTATAACATGAAAAGATCTGCTGACAACGAGTTGGCGGTGCACATGTTTTGCAAATCCTGCAATGGACCGTAATCATTCGTCACCACTCGCCCCTTTCCGAAACCTGCAAGAAGACTCGTACCCCTATCGATGAATGTTATGTGCGAAAATACGACAAACCAATCAGAATGCGCGTATGATTTCAAGTTCTCCATCAAAGAATCCCTCAGAAATAATTTTTGATTTTACATTTGTCTTGCATCTAGAAATATGCCCATGACACAGTTAAATGTGTTCAATCATACAGTATAATTCCTCATGCCCAGATGTGCTATAGATTGCATCTGAAATATATATAATATATGGGGAAATATATGTGAAGCATTACGCAACGAGTTGACAATTGTTTTATGTATGCCCATTTGCGCTTAGACGGAACCCGGTCGCAAAAATGGCCATGAGAGGGGCACGAGTCGCTATTCGGCTTGTCCCGGAATAACACGAGTTGGTCACGAATGAGACCGAAATCTGCACGACAGTTTACGAACCGGATTTCGATTTCGGTACGCGAATTTGATTGGACTATGAATAGACTCGTTATTCAAGCCAACTGGACTTTCATAGTCAGTTAACTCTCTTGCCTTGGGAAGATGCCTAACTAGCTCCTCCAGGAGAATGATTTCCCCAAAAGGCAGCAAAGTGACACGGTACTTCTTACAGAGAGATTGTGCACTTAATTTTATTTCTACCACCTTGACATCATGTTTCACTGTTCTAAGATTCAGTTCATTTTGTGTTCATGATCCAAGCAAAAGTGGTCATTGACATGACGCTAATTACATGACGCACATTATATACCGTTGCATGTGATCCGGGTTAGAATAGGTCTTCCCGCAACCAATGCGTGCCGTACAAGGTGACTGCTTGTCGTTAGAGGAGACAAACGGGATCGGTTGGTCAGACTCGCTGACTTGGTTGATGCATGTCATCGTATCCCGATTGCGTGGATCGATGCTCATGATGTCAATCACTGGATTGTCTGGTCAAGACTCAATCATTTACCGACCGCCGACCGCCGTCATAGCTGGAATAGTGCGGCGTTATACAACAAACAAACAAAGCATAAGGATACCACCCGTTGAGATCCGGGTTAGAATTCGTCTTCGGCAGCCCCTGCTTGTCGTGTTTGAAACCGTCTGTCCTGGTTTAGGTTTAAAGAGCAATGATACATCAATCAACTAAAACTTAATTAATATTAGTTATGACATTGATTCGATAGATAATCTGTGGGGCTAACACTGTACATTCCATTGTAAGTATGGGATGGTGGCGGGGGTGCGTGGGGGAGCAAAACACTGGCTCTTGTAATGTTAGTGAATAGCCATGTTCAAAGTCAATATTTTATTCAATGAAATACGATCATCATGATATCTGAAAAGGTATGATTAGTGTTCCCGAAAGAACCTTTGACTTGACACCTAAAACATAAGGGTGCATAAGGGGTGTATTTCCCGCAAAAATGTTTGATGTTATGTTTAGTTTCTTTTTCAAAGGACGACTCACATCAAACAAAAACATGTGCAATGTTCGGGGAACAAAAAATTAAAGGATTACAGAACCTCTTGTATTTCCTAAAATACAGTATCAGCTCATTGTCGTTTTGTAACATTATGATCCAATCGTTGCTGTGTTACTGGGTGTTTGGGTATGAACTTATGTGATATAAATGTATTATAACGTCAGGGGCGGTCGGGTAGCCAAGAGGTTAAAACGTTCGCTCGTCACGCCGAAGACGCGGTTTCGATTCCCGACATTGGTATAATGTATGAAACCCATTTCTGGTGTCCCCCGCCGTGATATTGCTGTAATATTGCTAAAAGCGGCGTAAAACCGAACTCACTCACTCGTATAACGTCAGATACCCTTGGGATATGAGTGAGTGAGTGAGTGAGTATAGTTTTACGCCGCTTTTAGCAATATTCAAGCAATATCACGGCGGGGGACACCAGAAATGTGCTTCACAAATTGTAGCCATGTCGGGAATCGAACCCGGGTTTTCGGCGTGACGAGCGAACGCTTAAAACCGCGAGGCTACCCGACCGCCCCCCTTGGGATATGATAAAACGCACGTCAGATATTCACAAAACAACTGGCCTGGGAGATAAATAACAGCAAAGCCAAATTCACATCTTTCATCTCTTGTCCCGCATGTACAATCAATGTAACGGTATCGATTAAGGCTAGAGGGATAACATGTAGACAATTATTGATTACTCGATCAACGGTCTAATATGTGAGTCCGCCGAATACGACACATGCGGGACTGTATGCTTGACGTATATTTCTATCGATTTTGTACTTTGTACGTACTTTTGAATCCAAGCAACTAGAATTACATAATAAAGATAAAGATTCCTAACTGTTTGTTAACTATTCGTGTTATGGTTCTTCAAATCCACATAGAATTATAGACAAACAATTTCAAGTGTCAATTTGTTTATCATACTAAAACGTACCTTGTTGGTCACTTTCACTAGTAATGTGTATTGTTCTATTCTATGTTTTGATATAATGCGACCCGTTGTCTATGAAACGCAGTGGTTGAAGCGTTTGGTCATCACGCCGAAGACCTGGGTTTGATTTCCCATATGGGTGAAGCCCGTTCATGATGTCTCCCGCCGTGATATTGCTGGAGGTATGCTGAAAGCAGCTAATAACCCAACTCACTTCATTTCAGATGATGGACCTGTCCCACAAGCTACTACTCTGCAACCATCTATACCAAGCAACAGTAAGGATGTTCATATTATTATAACATTGACGTTTGTTAATGATATATAAACAACAAAACCCTTTCCATATTCACTAGAAAGCTCTGCTGAAAGCAGAGTTGATTGTACGATTCCGACTTTGGTATGTGTTTATGAAATATAATGATCCAGATCACCTGCGGAAACGGACAGTGGATCTTTTACAAAAGACTTTGTGACGGACGGCATGACTGTGTTGATGGCAGTGATGAACTGGAATGTGATAAGTGTATTCATCCGTGAAGATAGGTTGCTGCAGACCAATTCTTACCCGGATCACATGTAAAGATATATAATGTGCAATAGATATTTATTGCACATTCTAAATCTGTGATTGTTTTCAATACCCCGAGACGGTGAAGGTTTTACAAACTTAAAATCTGACAATGTGAAATACGTTTCCCGGCCGTTGGTTGTTTGAAGAATATATATTCAGAACAGACGACTTCTTAAACACATAAATGTATATTGTCATGTACAGCTTGCATTTCTTATTCATCTTTGTTTGAAAAAAGTGATACAATAATTTGCACCATCTCTTCGGAAATCCACTTGTCTCACAATTTGGAATGTTTGACAATTTGATTAATACATGCCTACAACTTCTTTCCTTCAGGACATTAAGTGAACAAATTCTGTTGTTTTCATGTAATACCATGTACATTATAAATGACAGGCATAAGGACAACACCCGCAAAGATCCGAGTTATAATTGGTGTTCAGCAGCCCATGATTGTCGTTAGAGGCGACTAACGGGATCGGCATACAGCAAACTTATCAACAAACTAGTTTGTACTTGTTTGCCGCTTGTAAATGTATTTATTCATTTGCTGATTTCCAAGCTGCATTTATCTATCTAGGCCAGAAAGCGAACCAGTTGCTTAGAGCCCTTCATAAAAGGCTGATGAACAATTGTTATCATTGATACATACAACAAAAATGCGTTAATATTCAACAAGGGTGAGCATAGTTACTATGGTGTACATATATCGATTCAGCGACTGAATGCTAACCCATGCTTGCCGTAGAAGGCGACTATGCTTGTCGTAAGAGGCGACTAACGGGATCGGGTGATCAAGCTCGCTGACTTATTTGACGCATGTGATCATATCCCAATTGGGTGGGACCCGAGAAGATTCCGGGGGTAGTATAGGTCTTCAGTAACCCATGCTTGCCGTAAAAGGCGACTATGCTTGTCGTAAAAGGCGACTAACTGGATCGGGTGGTCAGGCTCTCTGACTTGGTTGATGCATGTCATCGTATCCCAATTGCGTGGATCGATGCTCATGATATTAATCACTGGATTGTCTGGTCCAGACTCGATTATTTACAGACCGCCGTCATATAGCTGAAATATTAATGAATGCGACATTAAACAACAAACAAACTAAGCGTGAAACGTTTCCTGACTGAAACACGAACGTAACGGCACAGTACGGTATTGAGTTACGCCAAATACATGTTATTGGTTACTCGGTCCACGCTCTAATATGTGAGTCCGCCGAATGCGACACATACGGGACTCAATGCTAGAATATTTCTATCGATTTTGTACTTACTTTGTACGTACTTTTGAATCCAAGCAACTAGGGTTACATAAAAAAGCTTAAGATTACTTACTGTTTGTTAACTATTCGTATTATGGTTCGTCATATCCATACAGAATGCTAGACAAACAAATTAAAGTGTCAATTTGCTTATCATAGTTAAACGTACCTTCGTGGTCACTGTCTCTAGTTTCATTGATATATTGTTCTATGCTAAGTTTTGATATAATGTAACCCTTCTTCAATGAAACTTAGTGCTTAATGCGTTTGGTCATCACGCCACAGACCTGTGTTTCAGCAACCCATGCTTGCCGTAAAAAGGCGACTATGCTTGTCGTAAGAGGCGACTAACGTGATCGGATGGTTAGGCTCGCTGACTTGGTTGATGCATGTCATCGTATGCAAATCGATGGTCATGATATCAATCACTGGACTGTCTGGTCCAGACTCGATTATTTACAGACCGCCGTCATATAGCTGGAATGTTGCTGAGTGCGGCGTTAAACAACACACAAACAAACCAAGCAAGCAACAGTGAAAATGTGTATGTTTCTATAAGGTGGAGGCAAGGCTATGGTTTGGAACACGTTTGTTAAAGAAATCGATTGAAATTTGTTTACAATAATATTCTTACAACAACATGGGTGGATAACTCAGCACACACTGAAACAGACGTTAGTACAATGCTCTACGGATGGCATATCGTTTATGTGTAGAATATTCAAAGAAAATATCACTCGGTAAACTTGTATTACAGTCATGAGTTTTTTGTCTGAAAATTTGTCCGAAATAACGTTTTCATTAAAGTATTTTAATGATGATGATGATGTTTTGTCTCTCTTTTACCTTAGTTTCTCTTAAATATATATACGATGTTAATACTGCATCTAAATATTTGCTGTGGAATTATGCTCAGAAGATCCAGGGTAGAATAGGTCTTCAGCTACTCATGCTTGTTGTTAAAGGCGACTATGCTTGTCGTAAGAGGCGACTAACAGGATCGGGTGGTCAGGTTCGCTGACTTGGTTGATGCATGTCATCGATCCCAATTGCTTGGATCGATGCTCACGGTATCAATCACTGGATTGTCTTGTCCAGGCTCGATTATTTACAGACCGCCGTCATATAGCTGGAATATTGCTAAGTGCGGGTGGATCGATGCTCATGATATCAATCACTGGATTGCTTAGTGCGGCGAAAAACAACAAACCACCCAACCAAACAACCAACAGGTGAATTTATTGTTTTCTTTGTTCCACATGTTTTGTCTTGCATCCTCAGACATAAAGTGTTGTTCTTGCAGCAACATTTGAAGACAGTTCCAACACTTACATGGATCTGGATTTTCTGCTTGACTCGTCTGAAAGTGTTGGACCGACCAATTTTGATCGTTTACAGAAATGTATCATCGAAGTTGTTAATGATACAAGTTTTGACGACGGAAAGGCCTGGGTTGGAGTGGTCACTTTCTCCAGCTCCTCCAAGGGTGAGCATAGTTGCTATAGTGTACATATATCGATTCAGTGACTGAATGCTAACCCATGCTTGCCGTAAAAGGCGACTATGCTTGTCGTAAGAGGCGACTAACGGGATCGGGTGGTCAGGTTCGCTGACTTGGTTGAAGCATGTCATCGATCCCAATTGCGTGGATCGATGCTCATGATATCAATCACTGGATTGTCCTGTCCAGGCTCGATTATTTACAGACCGCCGTCATATAGCTGGAATATTGCTGAGTGCGGCGTAAAACAACAAACCAACCAATCAACCAAAAGATGAATTTAATCTTTTCTTTTTTCCACATGTTTTGTCATGCATCCTCAGACATATAGTGTTGTTCTTGCAGCAACATTTGAAGACAGTTCCAACAGTTACATGGATCTGGTGTTACTGCTTGACTCGCCTAAAAACCTTCGACCTGCCAATTTTAATCGTTTAAAGAAATGTATCATCGAAGTCGTAAATGATACAAGTTTTGACGACGGAAAGGTCCGGGTTGGAGTGGTCACTTTCTCTAGCTCCTCCAAGGGTGAGCATAGTTGCTATAGTGTACATATATCGATTCAGTGACTTAATGCTAACCCATGCTTGTCGTAAGAGGCGACTAACGTGATCGGATGGTCAGGCTCGCTGACTTGGTTGATGCATGTCATTGTATCCGAATCGATGATCATCATCTCAATCACTGGACTGTCTGGTCCAGACTCGATTATTTACAGACCGCCGTCATGTAGCTGGAATATTGCATAGTGCGGCGTTAAACAACACACAAACAAACCAAGAAAGCAACAGTGAAAATATGTATGTTTCAAAAAGGTGGAGGCAAGGCTATGGTTTGGTACACGTTTGTTAAAGAAATCGATTGAAATTTGTTTACAATAATATTCTTACAACATGGATGGATAACTCAGCACACACTGAAACAGACCTTAGTACAATGCTCTGCGGATGGCATATCGTTTATGTGTAGAATATTCAAAGAAAATATCACTCAGTAAACTTGTATTACAGTCATGAGTTTTTTGTCTGAAAATTTGTCCGAAATAACGTTCTCATTAAAGTATTTTAATGACGATGATGATGTTTAAGTCCCCCTTTAATCTTAGTTTCTCTTAAATTTATGTACGATGTTAATACTGCATTTAAATATTTGCTGTGGAATTATGCTCAGAAGACCGGTGAAGATCCGGGGTAGAATAGGTCTTCAGCTACTGATGCTTGTTGTTAAAGGCGAATATGCTTGTCGTAAGAGGCGACTAACTGGATCGGGAGGTCAGGCTCGCTGACTTTGTTGAAGCATGGCATCGATCCCAATTGCGTGGATCAATGCTCATGATATCAATCACTGGATTGTCTTGTCCAGGCTCGATTATTTACAGACCGCCGTCATATAGCTGGAATATTGCTGAGTGCGGCGTAAAACAACAAACCAACAAATGAACCAAAAGATGAATTTATTGTTTTCTTTGTTCGACATGTTTTGTCTTGCATCCTCAGACATATAGTGTTGTTCTTGCAGCAACATTTGAAGACAGTTCCAACAGTTCCATGGATCTGGTGTTACTGCTTGACTCGCCTAAAAAAGTTCGACCTGCCAATGTTAATCGTTTAAAGAAATGTATCATCAAAGTCGTAAATGATACAAGTTTTGACGACGGAAAGGTCCGGGTTGGAGTGGTCACTTTCTCCAGCTCCTCCAAGGGTGAGCATAGTTGCTATAGTGTACATATATCGATTCAGTGACTGAATGCTAACCCATGCTTGCCGTAAAAGGCGACTATGCTTGTCGTAAGAGGCGACTAACGTGATCGGATGGTTAGGCTCGCTGACTTGGTTGATGCATGTCATCGATCCCAATTGCGTGGATCGATGCTCATGATATCAATCACTGGATTGTCCTGTCCAGGCTCGATTATTTGTAGATCGCCGTCATATAGCTGGAATATTGCTGAGTGCGGCGTAAAACAACAAACCAACCAATCAACCAAAAGATGAATTTATTGTTTTCTTTTTTCCACATGTTTTGTCATGCATCCTCAGACATATAGTGTTGTTCTTGCAGCAACATTTGAAGACAGTTCCAACAGTTCCATGGATCTGGTGTTACTGCTTGACTCGCCTAAAAACGTTCGACCTGCCAATTTAAATCGTTTAAAGAAATGTATTATCAAAGTCGGAAATGATACAAGTTTTGACGACAGAAAGGTCTGGGTTGGAGTGGTCACTTTCTCCAGCTCCTCCAAGGGTGAGCATAGTTGCTATAGTGTACATATATCGATTCAGTGACTTAATGCTAACCCATGCTTGTCGTAAGAGGCGACTAACAGGATCGGGAGGTCAGGCTCGCTGACTTTGTTGAAGCATGTCATCGATCCCAATTGCGTGGATCGATGCTCATGATATCAATCACTGGAATGTCTTGTCCAGGCTCGATTATTTACAGACCGCCGTCATATAGCTGGAATATTGCTGAGTGCGGCGTAAAACAACAAACCAACCAACCAACCAAAAGATGAATTTATTGTTTTCTTTTTTCCACATGTTTTGTCATGCATCCTCAGACATATAGTGTTGTTCTTGCAGCAACATTTGAAGACAGTTCCAACAGTTCCATGGATCTGGTGTTACTGCTTGACTCGCCTAAAAAAGTTCGACCTGCCAATTTTAATCGTTTAAAGAAATGTATCATCGAAGTCGTAAATGATAAAAGTTTTGACGACGGAAAGGTCCGGGTTGGAGTGGTCACTTTCTCCAGCTCCTCCAAGGGTGAGCATAGTTGCTATAGTGTACATATATCGATTCAGTGACTGAATGCTAACCCATGCTTGCCGTAAAAGGCGACTATGCTTGTCGTAAGAGGCGACTAACGTGATCGGATGGTCAGGCTCGCTTACTTGGTTGTTGCATGTCATTGTATCCAAATCGATGATCACGATGTCAATCACTGGACTGTCTGGTCCAGACTCGATTATTTACAGACCGCCGTCATATAGCTGGAATATTGCATAGTGCGGCGTTAAACAACACACAAACAAACCAAGTAAGCAACAGTGAATATGTGTATGTTTCAAAAAGGTGGAGGCAAGGCTATGGTTTGGTACACGTTTGTTAAAGAAATTGATTGAAATTTCTTTACAATAATATTCTTACAACAACATGGATGGATAACTCAGCACACACTGAAACAGACCTTAGTACAATGCTCTGCGGATGGCATATCGTTTATGTGTAGAATATTCAAAGAAATTTCACTCAGTAAACTTGTATTACAGTCATGAGTTTTTTGTCTGAAAATTTGTCCGAAATAACGTTCTCATTAAAGTATTTTAATGATAATGATGATGTTTTAGTCTCTCTTTTATCTTAGTTTGTCTTAAATATATATACGATTTTAATACTGCATCTAAATATTTGCTGTGAAATTATGCTCAGAAGACCGGTGAAGATCCGGGGTAGAATAGGTCTTCAGCTACTCATGCTTGTTGTTAAAGGCTACTATGCTTGTCGTAAGAGGCGACTAACAGGATCGGGTGGTCAAGTTTGCTTACTTGGTTGATGCATGTCATCGATCCCAATTGCGTGGATCGATGCTCATGATATCAATCACTGGATTGCTTAGTGCGGCGAAAAACAACAAACCACCCAACCAACCAAAAGATGAATTCATTGTTTTCTTTGTTCCACATGTTTTGTCATGCATCCTCAGACATAAAGTGTTGTTCTTGCAGCAACATTTGAAGACAGTTCCAACAGTTACATGGATCTGGATTTTCTGCTTGACTCGTCTGAAAGTGTTGCACCAACCAATTTTGATCGTTTACAGAAATGTATCATCGAAGTTGTTAATGATACAAGTTTTGACGACGGAAAGGCCTGGGTTGGAGTGGTCACTTTCTCCAGCTCCTCCAAGGGTGAGCATAGTTGCTATAGTGTACATATATCGATTCAGTGACTGAATGCTAACCCATGCTTGCCGTAAAAGGCGACTATGCTTGTCGTAAGAGGCAACTAACGGGATCGGGTGGTCAGGTTCGCTGACTTGGTTGATGCATGTCATCGATCCCAATTGCGTAGATCGATGCTCATGATATCAATCACTGGATTGTCCTGTCCAGGCTCGATTATTTGTAGACCGCCGTCATATAGCTGGAATATTGCTGAGTGCGGCGTAAAACAACAAACCAACCAATCAACCAAAAGATGAATTTTTTTGTTTTCTTTTTTCCATATGTTTTGTCATGCATCCTCAGACATAAAGTGTTGTTCTTGCAGCAACATTTGAAGACAGTTCCAACAGTTCCATGGATCTGGTGTTACTGCTTCACTCGCCTAAAACAGTTCGACCTGCCAATTTAAATCGTTTAAACAAATGTATTATCGAAGTCGTAAATGATACAACTTTTGACGACGGAAAGGTCCGGGTTGGAGTGGTCACTTTCTCCAGCTCCTCCAAGGGTGAGCATAGTTGCTATAGTGTACATATATCGATTCAGTGACTTAATGCTAACCCATGCTTGCCGTAAAAGGCGACTATGCTTGTCGTAAGAGGCGACTAACGTGATCGGATGGTCAGGCTCGCTTACTTGGTTGTTGCATGTCATTGTATCCAAATCGATGATCACGTTGTCAATCACTGGACTGTCTGGTCCAGACTCGATTATTTACAGACCGCCGTCATATAGCTGGAATATTGCATAGTGCGGCGTTAAACAACACACAAACAAACCAAGCAAGCAACAGTGAAAATGTGTATGTTTCAAAAAGGTGGAGGAAGGGCTATGGTTTGGTACACGTTTGTTAAAGAAATCGATTGAAATTTGTTTACAATAATATTCTTACAACAACATGGATGGATAACTCAGCTCACACTGAAACAGACCTTAGTACAATGCTCTACGGATGGCATATCGTTTATGTGTAGAATATTCAAAGAAAATATCACTCAGTAAACTTGTATTACAGCCATGAGTTTTTTGTCTGAAAATTTGTCCGAAATAACGTTCTCATTAAAGTATTTTAATGATGAAGATGATGTTTTAGTCTCTCTTTTATCTTAGTTTCTCTTAAATTTATATACGATGTTAATACTGCATCTAAATATTTGCTGTGGAATTATGCTCAGAAGACTGGTGAAGATCCAGGGTAGAATAGGTCTTCAGCTACTGATCCTTGTTGTTAAAGGCTACTATGCTTGTCGTAAGAGGCGACTAACAGGATCGGGTGGTCAAGTTTGCTTACTTGGTTGATGCATGTCATCGATCCCAATTGCGTGGATCGATGCTCATGATATCAATCACTGGATTGCTTAGTGCGGCGAAAAACAACAAACCACCCAACCAACCAAAAGATGAATTCATTGTTTTCTTTGTTCCACATGTTTTGTCATGCATCCTCAGACATAAAGTGTTGTTCTTGCAGCAACATTTGAAGACAGTTCCAACAGTTACATGGATCTGGATTTTCTGCTTGACTCGTCTGAAAGTGTTGCACCAACCAATTTTGATCGTTTACAGAAATGTATCATCGAAGTTGTTAATGATACAAGTTTTGACGACGGAAAGGCCTGGGTTGGAGTGGTCACTTTCTCCAGCTCCTCCAAGGGTGAGCATAGTTGCTATAGTGTACATATATCGATTCAGTGACTGAATGCTAACCCATGCTTGCCGTAAAAGGCGACTATGCTTGTCGTAAGAGGCAACTAACGGGATCGGGTGGTCAGGTTCGCTGACTTGGTTGATGCATGTCATCGATCCCAATTGCGTAGATCGATGCTCATGATATCAATCACTGGATTGTCCTGTCCAGGCTCGATTATTTGTAGACCGCCGTCATATAGCTGGAATATTGCTGAGTGCGGCGTAAAACAACAAACCAACCAATCAACCAAAAGATGAATTTTTTTGTTTTCTTTTTTCCATATGTTTTGTCATGCATCCTCAGACATAAAGTGTTGTTCTTGCAGCAACATTTGAAGACAGTTCCAACAGTTCCATGGATCTGGTGTTACTGCTTCACTCGCCTAAAACAGTTCGACCTGCCAATTTAAATCGTTTAAACAAATGTATTATCGAAGTCGTAAATGATACAACTTTTGACGACGGAAAGGTCCGGGTTGGAGTGGTCACTTTCTCCAGCTCCTCCAAGGGTGAGCATAGTTGCTATAGTGTACATATATCGATTCAGTGACTTAATGCTAACCCATGCTTGCCGTAAAAGGCGACTATGCTTGTCGTAAGAGGCGACTAACGTGATCGGATGGTCAGGCTCGCTTACTTGGTTGTTGCATGTCATTGTATCCAAATCGATGATCACGTTGTCAATCACTGGACTGTCTGGTCCAGACTCGATTATTTACAGACCACCGTCATATAGCTGGAATATTGCATAGTGCGGCGTTAAACAACACACAAACAAACCAAGCAAGCAACAGTGAAAATGTGTATGTTTCAAAAAGGTGGAGGAAGGGCTATGGTTTGGTACACGTTTGTTAAAGAAATCGATTGAAATTTGTTTACAATAATATTCTTACAACAACATGGATGGATAACTCAGCTCACACTGAAACAGACCTTAGTACAATGCTCTACGGATGGCATATCGTTTATGTGTAGAATATTCAAAGAAAATATCACTCAGTAAACTTGTATTACAGCCATGAGTTTTTTGTCTGAAAATTTGTCCGAAATAACGTTCTCATTAAAGTATTTTAATGATGAAGATGATGTTTTAGTCTCTCTTTTATCTTAGTTTCTCTTAAATTTATATACGATGTTAATACTGCATCTAAATATTTGCTGTGGAATTATGCTCAGAAGACTGGTGAAGATCCAGGGTAGAATAGGTCTTCAGCTACTGATCCTTGTTGTTAAAGGCGACTATGCTTGTCGTAAGAGGCGACTAACAGGATCGGGAGGTCAGGCTCGCTGACTTTGTTGAAGCATGTCATCGATCCCAATTGCGTGGATCGATGCTCATGATATCAATCACTGGATTGTCCTGTCCAGGCTCGATTATTTACACACCGCCGTCATATAGCTGGAATATTGCTGAGTGCGGCGTAAAACAACAAACCAACAAATGAATCAAAAGATGAATTTATTGTTTTCTTTTTTCCTCATGTTTTGTCATGCATCCTCAGACATATAGTGTTGTTCTTGCAGCAACATTTGAAGACAGTTCCAACATTTTCATAGATCTGGTGTTACTGCTTGACTCGCCTAAAAAAGTTCGACCTGCCAATGTTAATCGTTTAAAGAAATGTATCATCAAAGTCGTAAATGATACAAGTTTTGATGACGGAAAGGTCCGGGTTGGAGTGGTCACTTTCTCCAGCTCCTCCAAGGGTGAGCATAGTTGCTATAGTGTACATATATCGATTCAGTGACTGAATGCTAACCAATGCTTGCCGTAAAAGGCGACTATGCTTGTCGTAAGAGGCGACTAACGTGATCGGATGGTCAGGCTCGCTTACTTGGTTGTAGATGTCATTGTATCCAAATCGATGATCACGTTGTCAATCACTGGACTGTCTGGTCCAGACTCGATTATTTACAGACCGCCGTCATATAGCTGGAATATTGCATAGTGCGGCGTTAAACAACACACAAACAAACCAAGCAAGCAACAGTGAAAATGTGTATGTTTCAAAAAGGTGGAGGAAGGGCTATGGTTTGGTACACGTTTGTTAAAGAAATCGATTGAAATTTGTTTACAATAATATTCTTACAACAACATGGATGGATAACTCAGCACACACTGAAACAGACCTTAGTACAATGCTCTACGGATGGCATATCGTTTATGTGTAGAATATTCAAAGAAAATATCACTCAGTAAACTTGTATTACAGCCATGAGTTTTTTGTCTGAAAATTTGTCCGAAATAACGTTCTCATTAAAGTATTTTAATGATGAAGATGATATTTTAGTCTCTCCTTTATCTTAGTTTCTCTTAAATTTATGTACGATGTTAATACTGCATCTAAATATTTGCTGTGGAATTATGCTCAGAAGACCGGGGAAGATTAGGTCTTCAGCTACTGATGCTTGTTTTTAAAGGCAACTATGCTTGTCGTAAGAGGCGACTAACAGGATCGGGAGGTCAGGCTCGCTGACTTTGTTGAAGCATGTCATCGATCCCAATTGCGTGGATCGATGCTCATGATATCAATCACTGGATTGTCCTGTCCAGGCTCGATTATTTACAGACCGCCGTCATATAGCTGGAATATTGCTTAGTGCGGCGTAAAACAACAAACCAACCAATCAACCAAAAGATGAATTTATTGTTTTCTTTGTTCCTCATGTTTTGTCATGCATCCTCAGACATAAAGTGTTGTTCTTGCAGCCACATTTGAAGACAGTTCCAACAGTTCCATGGATCTGGTGTTACTGCTTGACTCGCCTAAAAAAGTTCGACCTGGCAATTTTGATCGTTTAGAGAAATGTATCATCGAAGTCGTAAATGATACAAGTTTTGACGACGGAAAGGTCCGGGTTGGAGTGGTCACTTTCTCCAGCTCCTCCAAGGGTGAGCATAGTTGCTATAGTGTACATATATTGATTCAGTCACTGAATGCTAATCCATGCTTGCCATGAAAGGCGACTATGCTTGTCGTAAGAGGCGACTAACGGGATCGGGTGGTCAGGTTCGCTGACTTGGTTTGATGCATGTAATCGATCCAAATTGCGTGGATCGATGCTCATGATATCAACCACTGGATTGTCCTGTCCAGGCTCGATTATTTACAGACCGCCGTCATATAGCTGGAATATTGCTGAGTGCGGCGTAAAACAACAAACCAACCAATCAACCAAAAGGTGAATTTATTGTTTTCTTTTTTCCACAAGTTTTGTCATGCATCCTTAGACATATAGTGTTGTTCTTGCAGCAACATTTGAAGACAGTTCCAACAGTTCCATGGATCTGGTGTTACTGCTTGACTCGCCTAAAAACGTTCGACCTGCCAATTTTAATCGTTTAAAGAAATGTATTATCGAAGTCGTGAATGATACAAGTTTTGACGACGGAAAGGTCCAGGTTGGAGTGGTCACTTTCTCCAGCTCCTCCAAGGGTGAGCATAGTTGCTATAGTGTACATATATCGATTCAGTGACTTAATGCTAACCCATGCTTGCCGTAAAAGGCGACTATGCTTGTCGTAAGAGGCGACTAACGTGATCGGATGGTCAGGCTCGCTGACTTGGTTGATGCATGTCATTGTATCCAAATCGATGATCACGATGTCAATCACTGGACTGTCTGGTCCAGACTCGATTATTTACAGACCGCCGTCATATAGCTGGAATATTGCATAGTGCGGCGTTAAACAACACACAAACAAACCAAGCAAGCAACAGTGAAAATGTGTATGTTTCAAAAAGGTGGAGGCTAGGCTATGGTTTGGTACACGTTTGTTAAAGAAATCGATTGAAATTTGTTTACAATAATATTCTTACAACATGGATGGATAACTCAGCACACACTGAAACAGACCTTAGTACAATGCTCTACGGATGGCATATCGTTTATGTGTAGAATATTCAAAGAAAATATCACTCAGTAAACTTGTATTACAGTCATGTGTTTTTTGTTTGAAAATTTGTCCGAAATAACGTTCTCATTAAAGTATTTTAATGATGAAGATGATCTTTTAGTCTCTCTTTTATCTTAGTTTCTCTTAAATATATGTACGATGTTAATACTGCATCTAAATATTTGCTGTGGAATTATGCTCAGAAGACCGGTAAAGATCCGGGGTAGATTAGGTCTTCAGCTACTCATGCTTGTTGTTAAAGGCAACTATGCTTGTCATAAGAGGCGACTAACGGGATCGGGTGGTCAGGTTCGCTGACTTTGTTGAAGCATGTCATCGATCCCAATTGCATGGATCGATGCTCATGATATCAATCACTTGATTGTCCTGTCCAGGCTCGATTATTTACAGACCGCCGTCATATAGCTGGAATATTGCTGAGTGCGGCGTAAAACAACAAACCAACAAATGAACCAAAAGATGAATTTATTGTTTTCTTTTTTCCTCATGTTTTGTCATGCATCCTCAGACATATAGTGTTGTTCTTGCAGCAACATTTGAAGACAGTTCCAACAGTTCCATGGATCTGGTGTTACTGCTTGACTCGCCTAAAAAAGTTCGACCTGCCAATTTTAATCATTTAAAGAAATGTATCATCAAAGTCGTAAATGATACAAGTTTTGACGACGGAAAGGTCCGGGTTGGAGTGGTCACTTTCTCCAGCTCCTCCAAGGGTGAGCATAGTTGCTATAGTGTACATATATCGATTCAGTGACTGAATGCTAACCCATGCTTGCCGTAAAAGGCGACTATACTTGTCGTAAGAGGCGACTAACGTGATCGGATGGTCAGGGCTCGCTTACTTGGTTGTTGCATGTCATTGTATCCAAATCGATGATCACGATGTCAATCACTGGACTGTCTGGTCCACACTCGATTATTTAAAGACCGCCGTCATATAGCTGGAATATTGCATAGTGCGGCGTTAAACAACACACAAACAAACCAAGCAAGCAACAGTGAAAATGTGTATGTTTCTAAAAGGTGGAGGCAAGGCTATGGTTTGGTACACGTTTGTTAAAGAAATCGATTGAAATTTGTTTACAATAATATTCTTACAACAACATGGATGGATAACTCAGCACACACTGAAACAGACCTTAGTACAATGCTCTACGGATGGCATATCGTTTATGTGTAGAATATTCAAAGAAAATATCACTCAGTAAACTTGTATTACAGTCATGAGTTTTTTGTCTGAAAATTTGTCCGAAATAACGTTCTCATTAAAGTATTTTAATGATGAAGATGATCTTTTAGTCTCTCTTTTATCTTAGTTTCTCTTAAAAATATGTACGATGTTAATACTGCATCTAAATATTTGCTGTGGAATTATGCTCAGAAGACCGGTAAAGATCCGGGGTAGATTAGGTCTTCAGCTACTCATGCTTGTTGTTAAAGGCAACTATGCTTGTCGTAAGACGCGACTAACAGGATCGGGAGGTCAGGCTCGCTGACTTTGTTGAAGCATGTCATCGATCCAAATTGCGTGGATCAATGCTCATGATATCAATCACTGGATTGTCCTGTCCAGGCTCGATTATTTACAGACCGCCGTCATATAGCTGGAATATTGCTGAGGGGGGCGTTAAACAACAAACCAACCAACCAACCAATCAAAAGATGAATTTATTGTTTTCTTTGTTCCTCATGTTTTGACATGCATCCTCAGACATATAGTGTTGTTCTTGCAGCAACATTTGAAGACAGTTCCAACAGTTCCATGGATCTGGTGTTACTGCTTGACTTGCCTAAAAAAGTTCGACCTGGCAAATTTGATCGTTTAATGAAATGTATCATCGAAGTTGTTAATGATACAAGTTTTGACGACGGAAAGGTCCAGGTTGGAGTGGTCACTTTCTCCAGCTCCTCCAAGGGTGAGCATAGTTGCTATAGTGTACATACATGTTTATCGATTCAGTGACTTAATGCTAACCCATGCTTGCCGTAAAAGGCGGCTATGCTTGTCGTAAGAGGCGACTAACAGGATCGGGTGGTCAGGCTCGCTGACTTTGTTGATGCATGTCATCGATCCCAATTGGGTGGATCGATGCTCATGATATCAACCACTGGATTGTCTTGTCCAGGCTCGATTATTTACAGACCGCCGTCATATAGCTGGAATATTGCTGAGTGCGGCGTAAAACAACAAACCAACCAATCAACCAAAAGGTGAATTTATTGTTTTCTTTGTTCCACATGTTTTGTCATGCATCCTCAGACATAAAGTGTTGTTCTTGCAGCAACATTTGAAGACTGTTCCAACAGTTACATGGATCTGGTTTTTCTGCTTGACTCGTCTGAAAGTGTTGGACCTGACATTTTTGATCGTTTAAAGACATTTATCATCGAAGTCGTAAATGATACAAGTATAGACGACGGAAAGGTCCGGGTTGGAGTGGTCACTTTCTCCAACTCCTCCCAAGTTGAATTCTATCTGAATTCCTCCAATACAAGAAACGATATTGAGAGTGCTATTAAAAACATCAATTATAAAGGGGGACCTACTAATATTTCGTCCGGCCTTGTAACAGTAAACACCAACGTTTTTCAAACAAGGAACGGGGACAGAAAAGATGTCAGGAATGTCCTGCTACTATTAGTTGGTGGAAGTTCAAATATGCAAGAAAGTCAGACCATCCCTGCTGCCACCAACGCAAAGACGTCAGGTATCCACATATTTGTTGTAGGCATAAAGCAGGCTAATAATAATGTATTAAAGGCAATTGCAAGCGGACCACCGGGGAAGAACATGGTTCAGGTACAAAGTTTCAATGAGCTTGATCAAATGAAGAAGCGTGTCTTCAGATATATGTGTACAGGTGGGTACAAACAGCAAAATTGACATAAATTATTATTATCTCAGTCCCGTGAGGATTCCAGGTTCTATTGGGTCATCAGTGACCAAATGTATGGTAATCCTTGGTGACTTGGTTAATTGCGCGTTATCGTTGATCAGACTCTCAATCACTGAATTGTCTCGTCCAGACTAGATTATTTACAGGCCGCGGTCACAGAGTTTGAATATTGCTTTGTGCGGCGTTTAGCAAAGAAAGAAAACACAAATAACATAATAAGTATTGTCAGCTCAATGTAACCCAACACGACAGCCCTAGATCTATTTATGACGTTGACTGATGTTTGGCTTCAAGTGAATTGCCGTTGACGTGGCCTCAGTAAATTCAAGTGTGTATGTCCATAGTTACTTGGTGCGAACGTTATACTTAAAAAAGTAAATTCAAGTGTGTATGTCCATAGTTACTTGGTGCGAACGTAATACATATAAAGGAAACTTACACAATCTTCTTCATCAACGATGTCAAAACGAAATTACATTTTCTTTAAAATTCTGAATTATGTCACTTCAAGGTCTTCGGTCTGTGACTGCAGCACAGCTAACACCTAGGGCTACAACTCGGACATCACCTATGACTACAGCTCGGACATCACCTGTGGCTACAACTCAGACATCAACTGATGCCCCAACTCGGACATCACCTGTGGCTACAACTCAGACATTACCTAAGGCTGCAACTCAGACATCACCTAGGGCTAAAACTCGGACATCACCTATGACTACAGCTCGGACATCACCTGAGGCTGCAACTCGGACATCAACTGATGCCCCAACTCGGACATCACCTGTGGCTACAACTCAGACATTACCTAAGGCTGCAACCCGGACATCACCTGAGGCTACAACTCGGACATCACCTGTGACTACAACTCGGACATCACCTGAGGCTGCAACTCGGACATCACCTGTGACTACAACTCGGACATCACCTGAGGCTACAACTCGGACATCAACTGTGGCTGCAACTCAGACATCACCTGTGACTTCAACACTGACATCACCTGAGGCTACAACTCTGACATCACCTGTGACTACAACTCGGACATCACCTGAGACTACAACTCTGACATCACCTGTGACTTCAACTCGGACATCACCTGAGACTACAAAACTAACATCACCTGAGGCTGCAACTCGGACATCACCTGAGGCTGCATCTCGGACATCACCTCTGGCTGCAACTCGGACATCACCTGTGACTACAACTCGGACATCACCTGAGGCTGCAACTCGGACATCACCTGAGGCTGCAACTCGGACATCACCTGTGACTACAACTCTGACATCACCTGAGGCTACAACTCGGACATCACCTGAGGCTGCAACTCGGACATCACCTGTGACTACAACTCTGACATCACCTGTGACTACAACACTGACATCACCTGAGGCTGCAACTCGGACATCACCTGTGGCTACAACTCTGACATCACCTGATGCTGCAACTCGGACATCACCTGTGGCTACAACTCGGATATCACCTGTGACTACAACTCAGACATCACCTGTGACTACAACTCTGACATCACCTGTGACTACAACTCGGACATCACCTGTGACTTCAACTCGGACATCACCTGAGGCTGCAACTCGGACATCACCTGTGACTACAACTCGGACATCACCTGAGGCTACAACTCGGACATCACCTGAGGCTTCACCTCGGACATCAACTGTGGCTGCAACTCAGACATCACCTGTGACTACAACACTGACATCACCTGAGGCTACAACTCTGACATCACCTGTGACTACAACTCGGACATCACCTGAGACTACAACTCTGACATCACCTGTGACTTCAACTCGGACATCACCTGAGACTACAACACTGACATCTCCTGAGGCTGCAACTCGGACATCACCTGAGGCTGCATCTCGGACATCACCTCTGGCTGCAACTCGGACATCACCTGTGACTACAACTCGGACATCACATGAGGCTGCAACTCGGACATCACCTGAGGCTGCAACTCGGACATCACCTAGGGCTAAAACTCGGACATCACCTAAGACTACAGCTCGGACATCACCTGTGGCTACAACTGAGACATCACATGAGGCTGCAACTCGGACATCACCTGTGGCTGCAACTCAGACATCACCTGTGGCTGCAACTCAGACATCACCTGTGACTTCAACACTGACATCACCTGAGGCTACAACTCGGACATTATCTGTGGCTACAACTCGGACATCACCTGAGGCTGCAACTGGGACATCACCTGTGACTTCAACTCGGACATCACCTGTGACTACAACACTGACATCACCTGAGGCTGCAACTCGGACATCACCTGTGACTACAACACTGCCATCACCTGAGACTACAACTCGGACATCACCTGTGGCTACAACTCGGACATCACCCGAGGCTGCAACTCGGACATCACCTGAGGCTACAACACTGACATCACCTGAGGCAGCAACTCGGACATCACCTGTGACTACAACACTGTCATCACCTGAGGCTACAACTCGGACATCACCTGTGGCTACAACTCGGTCATCACCTGATGCTGCAACGCGGACATCACCTGTGGCTACAACTCGGATATCACCTGTGTCTACAACTCGGACATCACCTGAGGCTGCAACTCTGACATCACCTGTGACTACAACTCGGACATCACCTGTGACTACAACACTGACATCACCTGAGGCTGCAACTCGGACATCACCTGTGGCTACAACTCGGACATCACCTGAGGCTGCAACTCGGACATCACCTGTGGCTACAACTCGGATATCACCAGTGACTACAACTCAGACATCACCTGTGACTACAACTCTGACATCACCTGTGACTACAACTCGGACATCACCTGTGACTTCAACTCGGACATCACCTGAGGCTGCAACTCGGACATCACCTGTGACTACAACTCGGACATCACCTGAGACTACAACTCGGACATCACCTGAGGCTTCACCTCGGACATCAACTGTGGCTGCAACTCAGACATCACCTGTGACTACAACACTGACATCACCTGAGGCTACAACTCTGACATCACCTGTGACTACAACTCGGACATCACCTGAGACTACAACTCTGACATCACCTGTGACTTCAACTCGGACATCACCTGAGACTACAAAACTGACATCACCTGAGGCTGCAACTCGGACATCACCTGAGGCTGCATCTCGGACATCACCTCTGGCTGCAACTCGGACATCACCTGTGACTACAACTCGGACATCACCTGAGGCTGCAACTCGGACATCACCTGAGGCTGCAACTCGGACATCACCTGTGACTACAACTCTGACATCACCTGAGGCTACAACTCGGACATCACCTGAGGCTGCAACTCTGACATCACCTGTGACTACAACTCGGACATCACCTGTGACTACAACACTGACATCACCTGAGGCTGCAACTCGGACATCACCTGTGGCTCCAACTCTGACATCACCTGATGCTGCAACTCGGACATCACCTGTGGCTACAACTCGGATATCACCTGTGACTACAACTCAGACATCACCTGTGACTACAACTCTGACATCACCTGTGACTACAACTCGGACATCACCTGTGACTTCAACTCGGACATCACCTGAGGCTGCAACTCGGACATCACCTGTGACTACAACTCGGACATCACCTGAGGCTACAACTCGGACATCACCTGAGGCTTCACCTCGGACATCAACTGTGGCTGCAACTCAGACATCACCTGTGACTACAACACTGACATCACCTGAGGCTACAACTCTGACATCACCTGTGACTACAACTCGGACATCACCTGAGACTACAACTCTGACATCACCTGTGACTTCAACTCGGACATCACCTGAGACTACAACACTGACATCTCCTGAGGCTGCAACTCGGACATCACCTGAGGCTGCATCTCGGACATCACCTCTGGCTGCAACTCGGACATCACCTGTGACTACAACTCGGACATCACATGAGGCTGCAACTCGGACATCACCTGAGGCTGCAACTCGGACATCACCTGAGGCTAAAACTCGGACATCACCTATGACTACACCTCGGACATCACCTCTGGCTACAACTGAGACATCACATGAGGCTGCAACTCGGACATCACCTGTGGCTACAACTCAGACATCACCTGTGGCTGCAACTCAGACATCACCTGTGACTTCAACACTGACATCACCTGAGGCTACAACTCGGACATTATCTGTGGCTACAACTCGGACATCACCTGAGGCTGCAACTGGGACATCACCTGTGACTTCAACTCGGACATCACCTGTGACTACAACACTGACATCACCTGAGGCTGCAACTCGGACATCACCTGTGACTACAACACTGCCATCACCTGAGGCTACAATTCGGACATCACCTGTGGCTACAACTCGGACATCACCCGAGGCTGCAACTCGGACATCACCTGAGGCTACAACACTGACATCACCTGAGGCTGCAACTCGGACATCACCTGTGACTACAACACTGTCATCACCTGAGGCTACAACTCGGACATCACCTGTGGCTACAACTCGGTCATCACCTGATGCTGCAACGCGGACATCACCTGTGGCTACAACTCGGATATCACCTGTGTCTACAACTCAGACATCACCTGAGGCTGCAACTCGGACATCAACTGAGGCTGCAACTCGGACATCACCTGTGACTACAACTCGGACATCACCTGAGGCTACAACTCGGACATCACCTGAGGCTGCAACTCTGACATCACCTGTGACTACAACTCGGACATCACCTGTGACTACAACACTGACATCACCTGAGGCTGCAACTCGGACATCACCTGTGGCTACAACTCGGACATCACCTGATGCTGCAACTCGGACATCACCTGTGGCTACAACTCGGATATCACCAGTGACTACAACTCAGACATCACCTGTGACTACAACTCTGACATCACCTGTGACTACAACTCGGACATCACCTGAGGCTGCAACTGGGACATCACCTGTGACTACAACTCGGACATCACCTGTGACTTCAACTCGGACATCACCTGAGGCTGCAACTCGGACATCACCTGTGACTACAACTCGGACATCACCTGAGGCTACAAGTCGGACATCACCTGAGGCTTCAACTCGGACATCAACTGTGGCTGCAACTGAGACATCACCTGTGACTACAACACTGACATCACCTGAGGCTACAACTCTGACATCACCTGTGACTACAACTCGGACATCACCTGAGACTACAACTCTGACATCACCTGTGACTTCAACTCGGACATCACCTATGACTACAACACTGACATCACCTGAGGCTGCAACTCGGACGTCACCTGAGGCTGCATCTCGGACATCACCTCTGGCTGCAACTAGGACATCACCTGTGACTACAACTCGGACATCACTTGAGGCTGCAACTCGGACATCAACTGAGGCTGCAACTCGGACATCACCTGTGACTACAACTCGGACATCACCTGAGGCTACAACTCGGATATCACCTGAGGCTGCAACTCTGACATCACCTGTGACTACAACTAGGACATCACCTGTGACTACAACACTGACATCACCTGTGACTACAACTCGGACATCACCTGTGACTACAACACTGACATCACCTGAGGCTGCAACTCGGACATCACCTGTGGCTACAACTCGGACATCACCTGATGCTGCAACTCGGACATCACCTGTGGCTACAACTCGGATATCACCTGTGACTACAACTCGGACATCACCTGTGACTACAACTCGGACATCACCTCTGACTACAACTCGGACATCACCTGTGACTTCAACTCGGACATCACCTGTGACTACAACACTGACATCACCTGAGCCTGCAACTCGGACATCACCTGAGGCTGCAACTCGGACATCACCTGTGACTACAACTCAGACATCACCTGTGGCTGCAACTCTGACATCACCTGTGACTACAACTCGGACATCACTTGAGGCTACAACACTTCCATCACATGAGGCTACAACTCGGACATCACCTGTGGCTACAACTCGGTCATCACCTGAGGCTGCAACTCGGACATCACATGAGGCTGCAACTCGGACATCACCTGTGACTACAACACTGACATCACCTGAGGCTGCAACTCGGACATCACCTGTGGCTGAAACGCGGACATCACCTGTGACTACAACACTGACATCACCTGAGGCTACAACTCGGACATCACCTGTGACTACAACTCGGTCATCACCTGTGGCTGCAACTCAGAAATCACCTGTGACTACAACACTGACATCACGTGTGACTTCAACTCGGACATCACCTGTGACTTCAACACTGACATCACCTGAGGCTGCAACTCTGACATCACCTGTGACTTCAACACTGACATCACCTGAGGCTACAACTCGGACATTATCTGTGGCTACAACTCGGACATCACCTGAGGCTGCAACTGGGACATCACCTGTGACTTCAACTCGGACATCACCTGTGACTACAACACTGACATCACCTGAGGTTGCAACTCGGACATCACCTGTGACTACAACACTGCCATCACCTGAGGCTACAACTCGGACATCACCTGTGGCTACAACTCGGACATCACCCGAGGCTGCAACTCGGACATCACCTGAGGCTACAACGCTGACATCACCTGAGGCTGCAACTCGGACATCACCTGTGACTACAACACTGTCATCACCTGAGGCTACAACTCGGACATCACCTGTGGCTACAACTCGGTCATCACCTGATGCTGCAACGCGGACATCACCTGTGGCTACAACTCGGATATCACCTGTGTCTACAACTCAGACATCACCTGTGACTACAACACTGACATCACCTGAGGCTGCAACTCGGACATCACCTGAGGCTACATCTCGGACATCACCTGTGACTTCAACGCGGACATCATCTGTGACTACAACACTGTCATCACCTGAGGCTACAACTCGGACATCACCTGTGGCTACAACTCGGACATCACCTGATGCTGCAACGCGGACATCACCTGTGGCTACAACTCAGATATCACCTGTGTCTACGACTCAGACATCACCTGTGACTATAACACTGACATCACCTGAGGCTGCAACTCGGACATCACCTGAGGCTACATCTTGGACATCACCTGTGACTTCAACTCGGACTTCACCTGTGACTACAACACTGACATCACCTGAGGCTGCAACTCGGACATCACCTGTGACTACAACAATGCCATCACCTGAGGCTACAACTCGGACATCACCTGAGGCTGCAACTCGGACATCACCTGTGGCTACAACTCGGATATCACCTGTGACTACAACTCGGACATCACCTGAGGCTGCAACTCGGACATCAGCTGTGACTACACCGATGCTCACAACTACTTCTACACCAGTATCGCCACCATATTTTCCAAAAGGTATTTGTAGTATACCAGGGCATATTGGTTACTGGGTAACTATAGGAACTTTGAGTAGGGGAGCGAATTATCAAATTTATCTGTGCAATTTACAATGGTCTCCTGTATGGACAGGGTGGTCAAGTTGTGACGTGGCTGTTGTATCCACGTTAATCCGTTTCCTGTTCCAGACTCGATTGTAATTTCCTACAGGCAAGGTACTTTAACTAGAATATTGCTGAGTGGGGGCATTAAGCAACAAATTATGAACATTTCAAGGAAAGTATTTAATGTCATCCTCATTTTATACCATCATAATATGAATAATAAGTTATAATACAGTTTCTGTTCCTGATAATATACGTTAAAACCCGCTATGTAATATCTGTATTCACAAGCGTTACTTCAGATTTTGGGAAACGGGATGTGAGCTAGGTGCTTTTTGTGGTTGCAACTAAACTAAGTGCCAGATGAAAGCATTGATCCGAGAAGTAGTTTGCTGACCATATAAGTTACTCACAGTGTTGTAAGACGTCTACACTCAGTATATCCTGACGTTTAATGTTAAACAAAGTATGATTGTATTCGTCCTCACCATTTTATGCTACAGGTTGCAACACGTCCAACGCTTGTTACCGTCAGTGTGAGCGAGTGGCAGCCTCCATCCCCAAGGTTAGCGATGACGTGATCAAAGATCTCCGGCTTCCCAAACGTCAACTTTCCAAGCAGATCGGCAAGAAAACTTCCACTCCCAACCGCTCTGAGAGTCAACAGATGACTGGAAAGGTGGTATTCATTGTCCTGTTGGCTCCATGTGCCTTCCTGTTAGGATGGGACCTCCTCGACCTCCTGAGGTACATCTACAGAAAATGATATTCGAAATTAGGATTACAGTGCTAATTTGCATTTTAACAAGTACCATTTCGTTGTATAAACGAACATTGAAACTGTTTTTTTAATTGATAATTTGGCATCGATATTAAAGACTAAAGGGGAAAATCAATGTACGTACACGCTATTTTTGTCTTGTTATCGTTGTTGGGAACGTTCACGGAAGATTATTATCCCCCTCCCCCGGGGACGCCTCGTATAGTCGACGCCTGGTCTGTCCGTCCGCCCGCCCGCCCGACCGTAATCATTTTGTGCCGTTTGCTGTTTAGGACCTTTTCCAAATTTCCATGGAAACAAGTTTAGACCTAGCTGAAACGGAGGTAGGTGTCGTTTCCGGACCTGGACTATTAATCAAGGGATAAAGTCGTGCCTTTTGCCATTTAGGAATCTAAAGAAATGTCCTGTTTCCATGGCAACAAGTTTGACTTTGACTCTCTTCATAATGGTGGGTTTGTCCGGACCATATATCAAAGCTAACAGGTACTCTTTCTTGAAACTGTGCACACACAAAGACAAGGTTGCCAATTGGTGCTTATTGCTTTTTAGGGATTTTTAGAGTAACTCTCGAAAATTACAAACATCCGAATGGGGCTAAAACCGTGCGACTCATACACTTCGCATTCATATACACCATTTGTTTACCATGTGCACATACAGACGTCACGGTCTAAGAGACCTGTTAATGGAAATGGATTTGCGATTAAATTATTACACAGATAAATTTCACAGTACGTATCTGTCTTCGCATTTTAAGCGAGTTGTTTTCCGTTTTCGATATTTCGATTTAAAGGCGATATGGAGTAGTCTGCTGGAGTTGTGCTCTGGCAGTTCTTCTGCCGAGTTCGATTTTTCTCAGCGACTTGTTGCAGTTTGGCATCGCCTTTCCTGGGTCCCATGCTGAGCTCCTACCTCCATATCTCCCGCAGTCCTCTCACCGTCCATGTCCAGCGCCCTTAAGTCTTCCTTGCAGACGTCTTAAGAGCACACTTTTACAGGGGCCGAGCTCCCCATGCAAGTGATCCTTCTGGATCCTTCCGTCCTCCCTTGGACTGACGTGGCCAAGCCAACCAAGTCGGTGCCATTTCAGCAGAGTGAAGAGACTCGCGGCAAGGGAGAGAACTTCAGTATTTTTGACTCGGTCACTCCAGCTGATTCCGAGGATACCCCTTGGTGAAAGACATCAAAGCGTTTCTTGTACTGGAAAGACGCGCTGCCTTGCTGTTGGTTGTTAGGTTGCTGTTCTCCAAAACCAGCAGTTATTAACGCATCTTATAGTTTTCTGAACTTTGCATCCGACTGCTCACAGAACGTGCAGGGGCTTCTGATTGGGGCAGTGTTTGTATTATGTTGGTGCTGCACACATTCCTCCTTGACGGCGATGAACTCGCAGAAGTCGGCTCAGACTGACATTTAGTTCCAGAAATAAAGTTATTTAAAATATATATCTACAAAAGAAAAATAATTAATTCCAAATGAAGCCCAGAATAATCCTTAATTTCAGGGACTAACCAAATCTGCAAAGCTCTAATTTGTTGTAATCTTGTCAAAGTCTACCTTCATTTCTGTTTATATGTCACTGCTACACAGACAGCATATTTCTGACCACCCCGGGGGCAATGGTGGTCCAGTCGTCTGAGGCTCCGCGATTCGCTGTGCAGAGTTACGTCCCTTGGGCACGCCAGAAACCTATGATTGTGGGTTCGAATCCCGGTTCGCCCTAATTATGTTTTTAGGTTTGTCAGCTCCATACCCGTGCCCGTGGGTTTCCCCGAAGTGATAAACGTCTGCGACCTGCATCACTTCGGGCTTTCCTCCAACATTAAGCTGACACGCCGTGATATAACTGGAATACTGTTAAAAGCGGTGTTAAACCCAACTCACTCACTCGGACCACTCTCTTGTATCCTTCCTCTCCCCAGTGTGGCATCAAGACTGTTGTTCTTGTGTTTTCCAGCTCTGTATAGTATCTATAAGAATGATGCAATTTCAAATGTTAGTGACTTTCCACATCCAGTTCGTGAACAAAATAACACAAGTTCTTCACAATAACTATTTTCTGATTCTGACGGATCTGCTTAATATTAAGTCTAAAAAGTGTAGTCAGAATTGCTTTTAATACCTTGCATAACATTGCAACTATATAAAAACTGTGAATGTTCAATGCAGGGATGCTTCCTCCTCATAAAGCCTAAACCCTGTATAGAGTGTTATTGTGAGCTCCCAAAGGTGGCATTCATTAAGTTTACAGTAGGGGTCACCCACATCAGCTGTAAACACCAGTGGAAAGAACAAAATTAACGGATAAAACGCCAGAATCTGGCTTGTGAACGATGGAGATTTGGACATACCCCAAAGCCGAGGCCATCTAGACTTCGCAAATCATTCTAGACTAGCGTTGGACGCCCTTTTTTCTCTTGGGCGCTTGGAGACTGACAAGAGTTGGCTTTGAGTCAGTTATGAGTTTTCCCCCTGCTCAAGGTTTACAGTCCGCGGGTCAGGCTGGTCAGAGCCCGAAGGCCCACGAACCCAGGCCATATAGCAATGCTTCCCATGTTGAAGACAACACCAGACTGGCTGAGGGACCCCGACTCGGGTTTGCTGTGAGACGTTTACTCTCTCAGCCTTTCCGCTGACTTTTCCTTCTCCTAGAAGAGCAGCCAGCCAAGGATGACGAGCTCCCTCTGCCCGAAGCGTCTGGTTTTAAGGCACCTTTCACCCTTTCTCCTGTCAGTGAGAACAATTCCACCACGTGAAGGCCAGGAGCTGGACTTGACTCGGGTGAGGGCCATTGGGGATTTTTAAAGACATTGGGAACTTGGCCCCATTCGCAATCTGGCTTTAACAGGATTGTGTGGAAACAGTTTAATATAAGCAGTTGTAAATTTGACTTCTCAATATTTCAATATGCGCCGTATGCAAGAAAAGGGGACAATGTTGAACTACAAGCGGGTCCTTTGTAATTTGCTGTCAGTAATACTTAGGGTTAATTATTTAGAAACAATACCACTACCCTACCCAAAATTCAAATGGTTGCTCCCTTACCGATGAAAGTGACGTCGTATTGGGTAGCAGAAAGATCATTATATAGTTCAACAATGTCTGAAAGTGTACTAAATTGTTCCAGTTTCGATTGTTTATTAATATTTATAATTATAGTTCTGTTGACTGTGATTCTGCGTAAAAATGAAAAGCTTTGGATCCATCTGTAAATAAAGCTTTGCATGTATTCAATTTGTATGAGCGTCTTAACTGATTATTTGCTTGTTGAAAAAATAATTAATTTGTTTCAGATTTAAGTTTAGTTAATATTATGTCCTCCGTTGCTTTTACCAACTGCCATGTAGGAGAAGACAAATGTTTTGTTGGAGCGTATTTTAGCAGCAGAAAGGAAAATGTCTTATAGAGATCATCATAGAAAGGGTTTTAAAAACAGCCATACGCTGGATTGGATTAAGGGTTATGCAATTTAGAAATATGCAAAGAGGATAATTTGATGCAAAGTTGTTTAAGGGGCGGTTCATCAGTGGAAGACGTTCTGAGGGCCCCAAGGCAGAGACTCAGGCCTTGATAATGAATGCAATCTTGTTGGAGATCTAAAATGCTCCAGCATTGTGATCTTTAAAAAATGTTCCTAAATGTAAGGACCAATAACGAATTTGTACATGTCATGAAACGAAAAATCAAAGTCAAATTTTAGTCCTACACATCTTCAAAAGCTTTCAACTCCGTGGGGATTTAGAATTGAGAGAAGATTTTTATTGTTAATTTTCACCATTTTTAACAATTTCACCGACATGAAAAAGTTGAAAGCCACTGTTTTGCTACAGGTAATATCCATGTGTTGTTTGGTTTGTAGAAGGATTATTTAGGTCTTCTTATAATTCGTTTTAGAAATCTGAAAAAGGAGTTTAACGCCATGAACGTTGAAAACCCGAGTTTTATAATTGTGACATCTTCCTAAAGTTTCAGACTCTACACCTTGGGTGGTGGTGGGGGCCTAAAGCGCTACCTTTCCGCTCATTTTGACCATACGTTTGTAATTTCTAATATGACCAAGTGATGAAAATATAAACAACATATACATACCTTTCCATATTCATAACACATATCTGATAGAATCATGGTCCATTGTACGATTCCGGTTATAACATGAGCAAGTGATGATGAATCAGGTTAAATAGTGATGATACCAGGTGTTAGCGATAAGGTGAACGAAGCCTGCCCTACCGGCGGCACTTGTCACAAATACATGCACAGGTTAGTCAATTGTTTACCTGAAAAAATATGGGAACCTATGGTACAAATCAAAAAAGGGAATTGCATCTGAAAAAAGGTATTTCATTGATGCGTCAAATTTGGAAATGTCCTTCTCATGTCTTCAGCAACCTATGCTTGCCGTAAAAGGCGACTATGCTTGTCGTAAGAGGCGACTAACGGGCTCGGGCTCGCTGATTTAGTTGATGCATGTCATGAATCCCAATTGGGTGGATCGATGCTCATGATATCAATCACTAGATTATTTATAGCGTCATATAGCTGGACTATTCCTGAGTGCGGCGTTAAAAAACAAACCAACCAACCAACCAACATTCTCATGTCTGCCATATAAAGGCCTTTAATGTTCTGAACTTGATCAACCAATGAAGAGTCCCTTTTAGAATTGTACCCCGACAGCATGGATCGTTGCTCCCCGATTATTTACAGGCCGCCGTCATATGAATCGAGTTGAAAGTGAAATTACAACTAAAGTAAAATAAAAACTTTATTTTATCTTCTGAAATATTCATGCAATGTAAACAAACGCTTTTGTGGACTTTGTCGCAATTATAAGATAAACAGTAATAATGTATATTGTACATGTTCACAATTAATTCTTTTTTCTAGACGTGTAGATGGTGTGTATATTTGTACGATATAATTATCATGGTTGGTGTATACAGGTTATGACCGTGATACAGCTTTTATTGCTATTCACCTCTTTATATGAAGCTGAAAATTGATGTAAACAACAGAATAATTTCCAAGTCGACTATGCTTGTCGTAAAAGGCGACTAACGGGATCGGGTGGTCAGGCTCGCTGACTTGGTTGATGCATGTCATCGATCCCAATTGCGTGATCGATGCTCATGATATCAAACACTGGATTGTCTGGTCCAGACTCGATTATTTACAGACCGCCGTCATATAGCCGGAACATTGCTGAGTGCGGCGTTAATCAACCAAACAAGTCGAATATTATAAGAAGTTGATTGTTTCATTTTGTCCTGTTTTTAAATTTATTTGACCTTGTCACCATTTAGTGATTTGTTTTAACTTTGTGTTAATAGAAGCTGATGTCGCGGCAAGATGTTTTGTTATCTATCTAAACTTTTCTTTTCAACAGCTCGTTTAGAACTACGGAAATTATATCATAACGGTAAATGTAATATTGTGGTGAAACCCTAATCAATTTGCGGCTGTTGAAAAAACGTTATTTCAGGTGATCATTTATAACTGATTGTGTGTCTCATTTGGTTCGCTGATGAGGTCCGTGTTAAAACTTGATTGTAACTGAACCATTGACAGTTACTGGACTGGTTTGCTCATAACACATCTGAATATGTTTTGCTGTGATGGCAATTAATATTTCACGTGTCAAGATTTAATTGGTTATGTTTTTAGATTTTTACGGTTTTTCAATGCTTTTTGCTTCATTTCAAATTAAATGAAACGACATTTTCCTGAAACAAATTGGCAAAAGAAGCTGAAAATTAATGGATCTTATCAAACAGAAATATTTATCATAAATAGTCCAATGCTCAAGTTCAAATGTGCATTTAAGTGCACACTCGTAAGGTATTGTAAGATGTGGAAAAATGTACATTTACACAGAAATGGCCCTGTTTTGTAACATTGAATGGATCATCACTGCAATTGTACCAGACATATCTGGGTATGACATTTGTGTCTAATGTGGCAACTATGTAACTGTGTCCGTTGTTTTCTGTTAATTCCATTGCCTAGACGTGTGATAATATCTAATGGAATTATATCTGATAAATTGGAACCATGTTGACACTTTGTGTATTTACATTTGACAGTAGATCTTTACATGTTTATACCACTTGTAGTCTAATGTTGCACATATTCCTCACCCTCTGTAAAACAATTGAGTTTACGAAGTTGAAATTAAGATTTATCCAACAGTCATGTTGAATATTTTACTTTGACCGATAACAGTAAAATGACATTATGTTCATTATATATCCCCTGTGGAGAAGATAAAGAATAAAGTTTGCGCAATGTCCAAGAGGCATACTTACTGAAGCATAGCTATAAGAAAATCTCATAAAATCATGAAATATGTTCTTTGTAAGCTCATGCAAAATTTATGTTGCCAGTTGACAAACACCTTGTTACTACTCCTTGTTGTTTCGTTGTTGTATATTTTTAAATTACATCACTTAATGTGTTATTGTTTAAAATAAACTTCTAATCAAATTACTTCAGGTTACGTCACGTGTGTCCTCTTCCAGACACGAGAACGTAAGTTCTTGATATAGGTTCCGACATTTTCCGCTGTCTCCCCAAGGGATGTTTTGTGAAGGGGAATGTGTGTTCAACAGTGACGAGAGTGCTGAATTGTGGAATTAAGCGTCTTTATTCTTAACATTTCATCTTCTACTTATTGATAACGTCTTCTGTATGTTTTGAAACTCGAATTGATACA